ATTCTGTGACAGTCGGCTCAAGTATTCTAGAGATGATGAGGATGGCAAAGGACAGGGTAGGGTTCAGATCCTTTGTTCACTCGGTTAAATGATTCCAACAAGATTTGTCAGGTGCTGGGATCACAATAGGTATCAACTTAGAACATTTCTGTTTAATCCATCTGCTCAAATGGTGCTGGGACTGTTAACATTCAATTGTAGCCTCAGAAAAAGTGTTTGAAATCTGCCTCTGTGCCTAAAGTTATCACCCCATTTGGGAAAAGGTTATCTTTGTTACGTGAATGAGGAAATCTCTTCTGAAAGAAGAATGAGATTAAATGAGGGAAACATGGAAAGACAGGGGAAGACTGATGCCAGGTCAGACGTTTCCTAAGGAATCAGGAAGCAGAAACTGAAGTCACAAAGTCCTTCCTCCCAGGCCTTCCCTTAAAGTCTGAGTCCTGAATTCACACTTACAGCTTTTTCAAAGGTCAGAAAAATAGGCATGTGTGTGTTAAAGCCACCCATTTGTGCTATTTCTGCCACAGACACAGTGTTTGACAGCTAAGATACTAACATAAGCAAATATTCACTGGGACTACTTAAATTACTTATGGTTACAAATGAATCAAATCAGCCATAGTTCCGTGAACAGTTTATATGACAACTACAGATGGATGCTTCCTTGACTAAAGGAAAAGGGGTAAAATGTTCCATTAAAGTTGAGAAATAAAGCAACCTTTGTTTATTTTTTAAAAAATATAAATATGTCTCATTTGTACTCAGCATAACATTTTGGAGGAAATAAAACAATATTAAACATGTGCAGTCTATAAATAAATAATACCCTGCTTTACTTATTCTGTTAAGCAAAGTCATAAATGAGAAAATGTCAAAATAATTACAAGATACCTCAATCCAATACAAGATACCTCACTCCAATAAGAATCACAAAATTTAACAGAGCAGCAAGCAACAAATGTTGGCGAGGTTGTGGAGAAACTGGAATCCTTATTCACTGTTGGTTGGCAGTGTAAAATGGTGCAACCACTGTGGAAGAGAGTATGGCGCTTTCTCAAAAAGCTGCAGAAATACCATTTGACCCAGCAATTCCACTACTGGGAATATATCCTAAAACCATAACTGCCACTCAAGTAGATATATATGGACCCTCATGTTTACTGCTGCTTTGTTCACAATAGAAAAGAACTGGAAACAACCCAGGTGCACATCACATCAACAAACAAATGGATAGAGAAGCTACAGTATAGTCACACAGTGGTATATTATGCAGCACTGACAAATAAGGAACTCATGAAGTATTATACAAAATGGGTGATCATGGAGGACATTATGTTGAAATATCTCAGTCACAAAAAGACAAATACTGTATAATGCCACTGTTATAGAGGACTGATATGAGGGTTGGGAGGAAACTAAGAAAAGGGGAGATAAATAATGTACACGGTATTGAAACAGACAAAGGAGAGAACTGCATAAAAGGAACATATGATTAGATATTATTGGCATGACAAGAGTCCAGAATAAGAGTTGCATAGTAAAGTGGTTGGGGAGGGGAGAGAGAAGGACTGCTTAACAATGAAAGAACTTCTTTTCCAAAGGAAAAAAGTGAACTGGGGAGGAAAGGGGAAAGGGAGGAAATGTGTAACAATGAATGCATGGAAATTAAAAAAAAAAAAAGAATATGTTCATACCTGTTAATACCAAATAAAGTATACATTTTAGGGGGGAAAAAAAGAACAATACAGAACCAAGACAAGTACTCTCAGTTCCCTTCATGTGGTCAATGGCAAAAGGGCAAAATCCAGAACACAGCTTCATTGTATTAATTTTTAACATCCAATTAAAGGAAACATCTATAATCTTTAAAAAAAAATGAGAAAATGTGATAATGCTTACTCTTTCAAAGGCATGTGAGTTAATTCCTAAAAAAAAAAAAAAAATGAAGCCATAAACAGGGAGAAATGGCTATAGTAACAGACTGAAGAGACGTGTGTGTGTGTGTGTGACCTTATCTACTTAATCTGACAGAACAAAGTATTCCTCAATAGTTAGGAGAACAGCAGCAAAACTAAGGAAAACTAAAATCAGCACTTAAGGATCTGTGGGATTGTTATGAATAAACACCAATCTCCCCTGGATCAGCGAGGCCCTATGAAAACCCAATTATCTATTTTGTCATGCCTATGTAACCAAACTTCACATTTCACTTTCCAATCAATGTGTTCCCTTATTCTCAGTCCAAACTGACCATGAGACACAGCAGCCTGGAAGGACAGTGGGGTTGCAATGCTTGGCTTGTAGAACCAGTCTCTACATTATACTTGATGGACATAAGTGACTCTATTGGTAATTAAAATAGCAAAGCCAGGCTCAGGTGGATGCCCTTATGTAACAAACACATCATACACTAGAATTATAAGTTACAGAAATAAAGACAAGTAAGGACATGAAGGGCACGATAGTTTATTTAAAAAAAAAATTGTACCACGCTGATCACCATGATCAGCTTATACATTATGATGGCTTTTCTCTTGGGTATTAACATCGCAGTATTTTTGCATACTGAAATGTCTCAATAGGACCAAGAACGTTAGAGAAATAAAGATCTCAGATGAAAATGAGTGCTAATAATTCTGTGTCCCACCTCACAGAGTTAATTTAAACTCTGTATGAATCTGTGGTGTTATAATGTGATGCAGTTACCATGAAAAAAGAAAGTTTCCTTTTAAGTAGACAGCATGAACTTACACTTCCTTGTACTTTCACCTTTAGTCTTTATGATTTAAGCAATGTCCGTCTGGCTAGAGCACAATCATTTCAAACCTCAGATATGCCCATGCAACCACTGCATGAGTTTAGTGATTCTACTAAAAAAAAAAAAAATTAAAAAAAATTATATATATATATGTATATATATATATGTATATATATGTATATATATATATATATATACATATATATAACTCAAACCACCATTCAAAAAAAGAGGCAAATAAAGTGATTTCCAAACTATATGAAAAGCATAATGCTTATTTATCCAATATAGACTCAAACTTTAAAACTTTAAATCAAAAGCTACAATTTACCCATGTCTGCAATTAAATTAATATGCATACATACATATGGGTTTTCGTTCATAGAACTGTATTTTGCAATCCGTGAGATAAAGTTACTTTTTAAAGGACAACATAGTTGGTTACAGTCCACACATCTGTAGTAAAGACAAAGCCACATGATGTTAAACTTGGCTCCAAATAAGCTATTGTGAAATTGTGACCAAATATCAAAATGAGGATCACCTGATCACCTAGTTGTAGCCCATATGAGATTACCTTTTAAGATTAGGTGTGCTGATGAGTACTTACTTTAATAGCATTTTCTTTTCATGACTCTACAAACTAACCCTTTTTCAAATCAATATGACTCACTAATAGTTCTGACTGACCTCTTTTTTTTACTGTGTTACCATCTCAGTACCAAGGGATTTCTGAGGCAGTGTTAAGTCTGACTTCATAAAAACAGTGGATAGTTGAACCCTTCAGTGACAGCTTTTAAATCTGCAAACTCAAAACCCACATTATTTAGCTTTCCACTTATAAAAACATTGAGATTTTGGCATTTCAAGTCAGAATCTCTTTGTGCTTTTTAAAAATTAAGCTGCTTTTGAATCTTTTTTGGTATTTATTAGCCATTTGTATTTCCCTTGTAATTAAAAAAAAAAGGATAACAGTTAAAATAATTTTTAAGAGCAAATATCCTGGGGACATACCATTACTTTCTTTTTTAAAAAATGTAGTATAAATCAATTATCTTTTTTCCTTCAGTATCTGGAATAGTAGAAATTATTTCTGGTCCCGCCATAGCTCAACCAACACTACTTATTAGCACGTATAACACTGAATTTTACAGACATCCCTGAAAAGTCTTTGATTAATTAAGTAAACAAGTGAATCACAGTGGAGTCTCAATCAGTTAACAGTGTAGATTGATTAAAAAAAAACAAACAACTTAACACTGAATAGTAAAAGATCTTTTAAGCAAAAAAAACCAAAAAACAAAACCACAAACAAAAAAAATCTCAAAGAACAAAAACTCAATGTCTTTGTCACCAATTCTGTACTTGCACCCCCTGATTGATGAGACTCCTCCATTTCATAAAACATGTTTACTTGAATCTTCACGCCAAGCCTTTAGGACACTTGCGTGAAAGGGCTTATGTTACCGTACACTGTACCATCTCAGGAAATGCAGGGGTACCTCATCATTTTCCTCCTTCACAATCTAAAGATGAACAAGGAGTCCCTCCTCTGCCCTCCCAGCCAGCATTTTATCAGGAGACGACACTTGCTGTGCAAACTGATGGCTGCTGGTCCTCTCCATCTCCCACTTCACCTCCCCAACCCAGGCTATAATAGGAGGTTATCATCAGTTTGTCATTATATTCACTGGCATTTCAAACTATTTCAATCCTAAAAATTGCAGCTTTAAAAGAAATAAAGAAGGGCAGAGAAGAAACGAAAAACCAAGAGGCTAAAGGCACAAAGTCGCATAGCTGCTCTAGTTGGAGTTTGTAAACAGAGAATAGGTTAAATTTAGGTAATCCCAATTTATGAGAGTAAAAAGGCATCCACAGCTAGCTTTTATCCAGCCAGCTTCTTTGAGACCCTTCAGTGGGTTTTGAGGTCTACAAAGTATGCACTAAAATACCCATACTTCAAAAAGCAATAAGGCAAATAGTATAATCATTATTCCAAAAGTTACAATGGTAGTGTAGGCATACATAGTATAATTTAGTTACAATGTGTGGTACTGTTTCTATTACATAACTGTATTAACTGTGTCTTTCCTACATAATTACATATTCAGCTGGGTTTCAGTTGAACACAAAACCATCCTTGTACCACCACTGATGGTTGGCAATAGCTCTTTGATAGCAGTTTTTACTCTGTAGAAATTATCCTTGAATTGAAAAAAGTCCACAATCCAACGTTCAGCCATTAAACACTATCATATTTGTGAAGAGCTTCTTCCAACTTCTGGGTCACTTTCTGGAAAAATATTATTTGTTGTTGTAAGAAATGCTGCATCTGTGATTTAAAGTCTCTTACTCGAATTTGATGGAAGTGGTGGATTTCAGCCAAAGTGGCAAAAGAAATAGTGTTACAGCGATCTTGAATGCCATCTGCCTTCTGGACCTCCATCTTCCCTTCCTCCACGTGTCTTCTACTCTCCTTTACTTTGGTAAGAGCTCCTGTAGTGTTATAAAAAGAAAGAAAATGACTGTAACAAATTTTTAAAACACATATCCCAATGACACAGCTGCACAATAAGTAAAAGCTTACACACTATAAGTGTCAAAACTATTTTAAATGTCTTCAGAATTTAAACTAATACTTTAACGGCAATTTAAAAGCAGGAATCTGGTCAAAATTACGAAAACATTTTGACTGCTGCAATTTCACCTAATCAAAGATAATCACCTACTAATATTTTTCCATCTTATCCAAATAGGAGACACCACTCATAACAAAAAAATAAACTACAAATATCTCTGAAAAGACAAATCAAGAAACTCTTGATGTCTTCACATTCTTAAGAGAAAGATATATTCTTATTAATATAGGTATATAAGGAGAGCTATATGACAAAGCCTTGTCTCACACACTCTGGTCATATTGCTAGTAGAGAAGAGGACCATCATGCTTGGAAAGGTGGAAGGTTGGCAGAAGAGAGGAAGACTTAACCAGACAGACTGATGCAGTAACTGAAGTGTGTCAGAGACTGAGGATAACACAGGGTCGGACAGGGTTCAGATCTGCTGCTCATAGGGTCACTATGAGGTTGTACTTGACTCAACAGCCTCTAACAAATAACAATATATAAACATTTTCATACAAAACACTCTGCTTTCTTAGACAATCTCATGATAAGCTTATTATTTTTCTAAAACCAGGTAGTTTCCTGGAAATCATCTCATGGTCCTGGATGGGAACATAGGTTCTGGACGGCAACATTGCTAATCTACAACTGGACGTAACTAGTTCGTTCACAGAGAATGTTGAAGTGAATCATCACATATCACATACACCTGGTTCTGACTCCATAATCCATTAGAGATCCACCCCTGGAGTATAAGGTGCCTGAGAAAGAATAATTCATCATTTCTCTGGGGTCACTGGTAGTTCAGTGTGAATTCTTGCCTTCCATGTGGGAGACTTGCATTCAATTTCTGGACAATGAATCTCATATGCTGCCATCATCCATCTGCCAGCAGAGGCTAGTGTCCTACTATGCTGATGATACTAATGAGGCATCTCCAGACTAAAATGTACCAGGTAGAAAGGTGACAATCTACTTGCATTGTATCTTGGGAACGAAGCTAAAAATGCTATAGCCTCTTGTCACAAAACATGGCAGGAAGGGGTGCATGGGTGGGAGTGACCATCAATTTATTTGGGTATGTGCCACATAAAGGAGGGCTTTCCCCCGGGAGAACCACCACAGAAAGGTTAAGAACATGTAGGGTGGGAAAAGAATATTCATGGAGGTGAAAATGAGAGTATGACACTCAATCACAGTATGACCTAAGCACAGTCAGTCCAAGAATTCAGATTTCCTGACTCCCTCTAATACTCACAGCACTAAACTCTTACAAAAGACACAACACAGAGAAAGTCTACACATCCTACTTGGCAGTCTGGCAACCAAACAACGCAGAGGTGTGAAAGGGCACCCTGTTTGAGTGGGAGTGCTACAAACCTTGTTTCAGAAATGAAATTTTTGTGCATAATGAAATAAATACATGCAGAAGAAAAGATGCTCTAACATTTTTTTCAAATTTCGTACAGAATAATACAGATAATCCTAGTATTAAAAAAGCCTTTAAAGGTTAAATAGAGTGTTTTGCACAGCTAAAAAAAAAAATTAAATAGCTGCCATTAACAAATTTTAGACCTGTGTGAGTTTGTGTGGACAGCACACTTTAATTTCCATTTGTTGGCTGGAATCTAGAGGGAAAAGACCAGAGAGTGGCCAAAATTATTGGAGCAGCTATTGCTGCCAGTTTAGGGCCTGTGTCAGGAAAAGGAAGTCCTACTCATAAACAACGCCACCCAAAGGTAATAAAGGAGGTCAAAATTGCTTCCACTGTGGAAAGCTGGGCCACTTCAGTAGACAGTGTCAGAGACAAGAGCCACAGATAGGCAAGGGAGTAGAGAGGAAGCTCCCACTCACTTGCTTTAAGTGTGGATCTGAAGGACACTTGGCCAATGGTGGCCCACATCAGGTCCTCATGGCTGACAGGACTGACAGGCTCCAGCTCCCAGCTGGAAACAAAGGAGGACGCTTCAACGATTCAGATCCTCCCAGAAGAGCCATGGATGAGTGTTAACATTACTGGTAAGTATATTCATTTGCTCCTGGACACAAGAGCCTATTATTTGGTCCTAAAAGCCTTCTGAGGTCCCAACTTTTCTCACTATTTCTTAGTTGTTGGAATTGACGGAAAACCTTATAAGCAGTTCCTTACTTCACCTCTGCCTTACATGCGGACTTCTGAGCTGTAAAACAACCCAGTAGTAGACGGAATTTGATCCAAGACTTAAGAATAATAAATGACATAGTTGAGCCTCTACAGCTTGTAGTTCCTAACCTTTATACTATAAAAGACAAAGAGCTAGTCAATAAGTCTTTTATTTTAAGAACTACCTTCCCTCTGTAACTTGATTTGTGGCACTATTAGAAACTCTACTTGGAATATTATTGCTTTTAATTTCTGACTCATGTACTTTTAACTTGTTAGTTAAATTTGTGTCTTCTAGGCTGCAACAGTTCCATGATACATCTTCAAGGATATGAACAAGTATGGCTAAGCACAACTGATAACAGTGCATCGAAATTCCAAAATCAATCTCCATAATAGTCTTTGTGTTTCCTATTGCCAAAGGGGCCCTTTAGAATAGTGAGAGAAGATCTTCACCCTGAAACCTACAGCGACCCTTTTCAGGAGGAAGTAGCTAAGAGAATACGTCGTCCCCTTTTCCTTATGAATCAGGGTGAAATCTCTCTCAGGGAGGAGCGATAGGGAATGGCAAAGGACACACTGACAAAGGAGATTAATCAGAACTGGCTTTGACAAGCACTGTGGCAATGGGACAATTAAAACAGACTTTCAAGGAATATTCAACCTGAATCCTTCTGATCATATGGACATTTCTGAAAGTATAAAAGAAAAATATTTCTATTTGTTGACTGTAAATTAGATCTGTAAGAGGGAAGCACAGACCTTCTGGCATGATGCCCTTTGCACGACAAGCACATGAAATGCTGACCTGCAGTCCTTCTGTGTCATGTGGCAGTGATGTGGTCAGCTCCACAGAGGATACATTCAAGCTAAAGGACTTCCAAAGATCCTGGTCCCGTTCCTACTGAGAGGTCATCACGAGGAAAGTGTAGCAATTTTACTGTATTTACTATGGCTCACGCTACTAGTAAAACACTAAAAGTCGCTTGCTTGTACTTTCAGAAAGAGCACCTGGTGATGTAATGGGTAAGTACTTGGGTATTAGCCAAAATCTCAGAGACTCCAACATATCAGCTGTTGCGTAGATGTGGCAGTCTGTGTCCATGAAGATTTACAGCCTTGGAAAGTCTATGTACAGGTGTACTCAGTCCTGTAAGGTCTCAATGTGTCTGAATCAACTCCACATCAGTACGTTCCAGGCTGGGTCCAGTGGTAGATGCTCCCCTTCTACGTGGCAAACCCAGGCCCCCGTTCCTGGTCATGACAGCGCATGTGCAGCACTTGTCCATCATCGGAGGCCTGTATATGTGCTAAGATTCTGAAAAGGTATCAGCACAGCTTTCAAATCAAGAAGAATGGCCTAAGGATCTGGTTCTGAAAACCATCCATGAACAGGCACATGACACAAAGACAACAAAGCCAGGCATGGTGATGAGCATGAAGAGTAAGAAAGTGCACCAAAAAGAAGAAGAAAGTCTACATGAATCCCCTGCTCTCCAGAAGGGTCCTGAATAAGAGCAGACATGACAGCCAAGAATAATAAAGGTTATATGAAAACATGAATGAGGAAGACCAGCTCCCAAAGGGAGACAGTGAAGGGGGAAGGCTTTGTTAACAGTTATTTTTCTAGAAAGGTTCACATCTTAACAAACAGAAATGAAAGTTAAAAAGATCAAGATAGCATATAGAAGGTAGAACTAAAGAAAGTGAATTCCAAATGGATTACTGAAAATATGAAAATAATGTCTAAATACAGACTAAAAAACACCCCAGGTGGTTTGTCCACTTTTACCACCTGATTTCAACCTGAAGGTCTGATTGTGTAATAACCGCTGCCCATGGCTGTAATATTCGGAAGCATCACTTACTCTAGATCTCAGAGTAGTCTGAATGTCAACCAAGTTGCAGCTTGTCAAACACCAAACCAGGTCAGCACACTAATTTCCAGGAACTATCTTCTAATATATGGAAACACATATCACTGTATTATGTTCTAGAAACTGTATTTTAATCTTCAGGGTTTAAGATGCAGGTGTGCATCTGTAATCAACAAACAGCTCAACTCACAGCCCTCGAGACAGCAACTACAGCTGACCTTCCTGTGGGTTTTCAGAGGCTGTAAATGGCACAGCAGACTGTCCTATCTTTCTTTGGTGGATTAGAAATGCTAGCCTTTGGGTTGGCACCACAACTAACTCCCAGAGCTCCCATCTAAAATAACCAATGGAAATATGGACAAGAATGAAGTGTTTGTAATTTATCCCATCAACATACATTTTCAAAACCCTTGGGCACAACAACAAATACACAATCTTTTTGTGGCAGTAGGGCCGTTAGCATTTAATGCCTTTAAGTGTGGTAAGTGTATTTATTACAGAAGCCAAGGAGAATTTAAAAGTCAGTTCCTCCCTGCTCATCAAGAACAAAACAAATTTTGTTATTTTTAAAATCTCACAAAGGTTGAATAATGAGGCAGGAATTTGAATTAATTCATCACAAGTGTAGGACATACTGCTGGAGTGAGGAACGTCTAGCTGTTGAACACTCAAGTCATCCCCCTCAGAGGACACACAGGCAAACATACCAGTCAGTCATTGCTGTGGAGTTATAACTGACTCATAACTTAACCCCCACTTTGGTTTTCAAAGGCTATAAAGCACATGAATGATCATTTAAGAGGCTCAGCTTTATAGGAGAAATGTGGCATCAGGACTGGAGAAGACTCATGA